TCTTTATGGCTAAGACGCGATTACTGAGAATCTGCAGTAATCAGCCCCGTGCTGCATGCTATATGCAGATGGCAATGTGTGCTGTGCATCGGAAGCAGGGGAGGAGTAGAAGCAAAACCCGTGTCATGGAGGACATCCCTTGAGAGGAAGTGCCTTCGACTCAGCAAAGGCAAGTCAGAATGTATAACGAGCTCGTTCAGTGAGAAAAACAGATTCAACGTCGTCAAACCAGTGAAAATAGCGGGGAGCTTGCAACCTCAATCTCAAGAATTCGCCTACCTTGGTTTCATTTTATATGATATTGCGGAAATCGACAGTGAGGTAAGAAATCCGTCGAAGAAAGCTTGGCTCAAATGGGGAAAAGTGATCGGAGTACTGTGCGACAAGAAGATGCCAATCAAACAGAAAGGGATGGTGTACAGAACGATAGTAAGACCGAGGCTTCTGTACGGAGCGGAATGTTTGGCTACACTGAAGAGACATGAGCAACTGTTGAACTCGGTAAAAATGCGAATGCTCGGATGGATGCGTGGCGTCAGCAGAAAAGACCACATCCGAAACAGCTCCAAAAGAAGCGTTCTAGGAGTTGCACCAATTTCAGAAAGGTATATCGAAAGCAGGCTCCGTTGGCTCGGTCACGTGAAAAGAAGATCCATAGTGTACGTCGGAAACGTGATCCAAGCACTGCTACTGCTAAGGAAGAAAAGAAGGGTAAGAATAAACAAAAGATGGCGTGATGTCGTAAAGAACGATATGAAAAGGCAAGAAATCATCTGATTTAAAATAAACTAAAGACAGGAAAATTTGGAGGAACGTAACTCGATTAGCGAATTCCTGTTAAAGGGAACATTCTTTACTGATGTGTAATCTTAGTTTATACTTCTCGCAAGTTGGTTAAAATCAGAAGCCTCTTTTAATCCAATCGTAAGAAGGTTTGCTTTCCATCACCTACCATAACGCACTGGATTAGCATCACGTATAGGTAACATTTTAGTTGACGACGTGACAGAGTTATGTTACAATAACTATCCAGTTGCATGCGCATTTACGTAAAGGGTGCTCTGTTAATAAGTCAGATTTTTTAAGGCACATGCAATTACGATATTTAAAGTCAAGTTTAAATGTCTTTTGCTTGAGTTTCCCCGAAGCTAAACCACAATGCGGCCTATATAAATATTCTGCAAATATGAGTACAACAATTCGCTAGGTTTTGTCCTGTCCATGGGACAGTCAATCTGAGTAGAAATGAAGAAAGTGGTCACTATATATTTCCTTTTGGATTCACAAATTTAGTGCGAATTTTTGAGGGAGGTGTGCCTTACTATTCAGGGGAGTTTTCTCGATAAGTCGTTGTCGTTGTCAACACTAAAATATTTATATTCTATAAATAAAAATGCAAGAAATGATCATTTCGTGTTCCTTCTAGGGGGCACATGGTCAGAGGACAAATGCAGATGGTGGTGTCAGTTAGTCCATCTGAACTTACTCCAAAATCGCTGTTGCCTTAGAAAGACTCACACACAACTGATTGAAAAATTTTTGGTGCTTTGGTGTCACTACCTCTTTAATGGACTGTTCTTCTTCTAAGCATAGTAGGTTTTTTTGACTCCCTCTCAACTGAGTGTAATTAAAAACGACTCCAGAATCGTTTTGGTCTTATGCAACCTTGCAGTTGTCAACGAGAGGTGAAATGCTGCTGGATACTGATGCCATAATCGATCCACGTCAGCAGATCAGAGTTCCACTAAGGACTTATGATTGTTGGGTCGAATCAAAAGCAAGTTTCGTTGTTTAATACTTCTGCGTTTATAGATTTTCCCATGATTAGACCTGATCTGAGCAGCATGGAACGGATAGGGAGAGGGATAGTGGAACGATGCTTCTCTTGTGTGATTTTACATCGTTCCGCTTAACCTTAATATTAATTTACTGATTCATATCCTGATCCCTCGATATCAGGGATTTACAAAGCCAAAGGAGGTGCATACAATTTACGATTAATATGAATAGATTAAAACTCAGCTGAGCTGGTGAAATCTTTGTGGTCAGATGCAACTTGGCCGAAGAATTTTCAAAGTGATAAAAATTCGAAATGGAATTTAATGTTTCGAAATCAT